GGCTGAGTCTAAGCAGACTTCTGGCAGGGATGGCTGTGCAGCTGTTCCCAGAACAGAAGGTAATATTTCTTCAGATGCTTTGCAAAATATGCTTGTGTGTATATGAAACAGACAGAGGTGTGAGAAGGATCCAGATTTTTAGCAGCCTTAAATGCCAGAGCTTGGATTTTTTTTCTTCCAAGTGACATGATTGAATTTCAGAAAGATATCTTGGCTGCCTTGTCGATTGAAGGGTCCAAGAAGGAAAAGATGGAGGAGGCCACTGCAGTCATTCAGCCTGGAATCGATCGGTCTGCATGCAGAGTAGGGAGATCGCCATTTGCCTTGGACTTGCAGCTTGGTGAGGACAGTCAGCTGAGGTCAGGGATGCTTTACCTAGATCCTGGGAAACAAGGGCAACAACTCTTCTAGAAAACCCACATGCTATACTCGGAGAGGCCTAGCTGAGGCTCAGCCCACTGCTCTGGTGTTGGGGGCAAGTTCTCTGGAACACAGATCACAGAACAGGAGCCGAGGTCACTGCCCCAGGTTTCCCGCAGTGTCCACTCCATCCCTCCCCATAACCTTGGGTGAAATGAGTTTCCCATTGCTGCATATCAATTTCCCCCAATCTTGGGAGTAGGGGACATCATTTTTTTCCTAAGAATGATTCCTAAGAGGAGAGACAGAGTGAGACAGCACGGAAATGAGAGCGAGCAACAGAGATCTTTTATCTGCTGGTTTACTCCCCAAATGACTGTACTGGCTGGAGCAGGACTGGCCAGAAAGCCAGGAGCCAGGAGCATCTTCCAGATCTCCCACATGGGTGCAGGAACCCAAGTCCTTGGGCTGTCTTAGCAGCCCAGGTTTATTAGCAGGGAGCTGGATTAGAAGTGGAGCAGCCAGGCCTTGAAATGGGGACCATACGGGATGGCACAGCACCACAGGTAGAGGCTTTACCTGCTATGCCATAGAGCACCAAGGGCCACCAATTCTTGACAATGTTTCTGGAAGCTCTGTGGAACAGGATAAGGCTCTCCAGATCAAATTATACAGGTCAAGAGAGAGAAACTTGGAATGTTCAAGAGGTGCTGGCAGGGCTGGGGGCAAGTCAAGGGGGCCAGAGTTTGTGACCTGGAGAGCAAGGACAAAGGTAACTTCCAGCCCACATCCTTCTCCTTTCTTCCAAGTCTTGGCTCTTTGTTAAGGATTCTAACATTTTAGCCCTCCCCTCTCAACTTCTTATGCTTGGCCTGGAGTTGGTATAATTGGGTGGCAGCTTCGGTGATATGCATTTCAGCTGGCTCCCTTTCTTGGAAGTGCACAGGCTGCAGCTGCACCATGTCATTGCAATGCTGGGTCTGAGAATCCAGGCCGCTGGAAGTAGGGCTCTAAGGGTCTAGCTCAACCTTGTTTACTAATATTTCTTGTGTCTGCAGGCCAAAGCCTTTTTCTCTCTTCAAACTTCAGTTTGTTCCTTTGTGCATTTGTGATGAATGGGATCAATGGCAAAGGCCCAGTTAGAGATCTGATACCAAGACAAGGGCTGATTTTCTGGAATTTGGCAGACAGGGACACCCTAGCCTTTGTCCCTGTCCCAGGGTACAGAGGCTATTCGTTAAGCATGGTACACCACGTGTCCCCTCTCCATGCAGACTGAAAGACAGCTCTGTCTGCCTGCATTGCCTTTCTAAAGGATACCCCTTCCCCCGGGTGCCTCTATAGATTACTTTCTTCCTACTTTCTTCTCTGGCAGTACACACTGTTTGACCCAGAGCTGTCCAACAGAACTTCTTTGCAATTGTGGAAACATTCTGTAAACGGCACTGTCCAATATCTTAGTCATCAATCACATACAACATTAGAGCATTGGACATTTGGCCAGCACGCCTAGAGAACTGGATTTTAAGTGTTAACTCATTTTAAAAATTTTTTGAAAAGCAGAGAGAAAGAGGGAGAGAAGGAGAGACAGAGAGAGCTCTTCCATCATGTGGCACAGTGGAATAAGCTCCTTCCTGGGACACCTGCATCCCATATTGAAGTGCCTGAGTTCAAGTCCGGGTTCGAGTCCCGGTTCTACTCCGCTATTCAGCTTCCTGCCACTGAAGACCCTGAGAGGCAGCAGGTGATGTCTCGCAGGAGTCCCTGCCACCTGCCCAGGACACCTGGATTTAATTTCAGGCTCCTGTTTTTGGCTTGACTCTATCCAAACTTTTGTGAGCATCTAGGGAGTAAACCAGCAGATGGAAGGTATCTTTGAGCATGTGTCTTTCAGATAAGTTAAAGAAAGAAAGAATTTGTATGTGTCTAGTGGCTACCACACTGAATAATTCAGGTTCTCACCAAAGCTGTTCTCTTTTTATTTTCCTTTTATCATAAGAATTACTAGGAATGACCACTAACTGAACATTCTTTCTTTGCCAACTCTTGCCTAAGTGCTTTACAAACACATCTCAATGAATCAGGAATTTCATTTTATTTTACTAAGGATGTATTTATTTACTTGAAAGGCAGAATGACAGGGAAAGAGAGAGAGAGAGAGAGAGAGCTTCCATTTGCTGGCATACTCCCTACATAGCCATAACTTTAGGCCAGGCTGAAGACAGGATCTTAGAATGCCATTTGGGTCACCCAGTTTATGGGGGTAGCTCACGCACTTGAGCCATCTTCCACTGCATTCCCATTTGCCTTAGCACAGGGCTGAAGAAGGTGAATAGCTAGGACTTTAACTTGTGCTCAAATGTGATGTTTGGCTTCCTGGGAGGCAGCTAAATCAGTTACAAGGAATTCCATTTTTAAAGATGAAGAAACTGGGCCCATTGTGATAGCCTAGTTGCTAAAGTACTTGCCTTGCATGCACTGGGATCCCATATAGGCGCCAGTTCGTGTCCTGGTGACCCTGCTTCCCATCCAGCTCCCTGCTTGTGGCCTGGGAAAGCAGCCGAGGATGGCCCAAACCTTGGGACTCCGCACCCACATGGGAGACCCGGAAGAAGCTCCTGTCTGCTAGCTTCGGATTGGCTCAGCTCCAGTCGTTGCAGCCACTTGGGGAGTGAACCAGCAGTCAAAAGATCTTTCTCTCCATCTCTCCTCCTTTCTGTATATCTGAGTTTCCAATAGAAATTTTTAAATCTTTAAAAGATGAAGAAATCAAGGTTAGGTAAACTAACTTTGAGTTGCATAAAAAGCCAGAGGGCCACTCAAGTGTAAGTCATGTCCTTAGCCAGTTAGAGAACTTTCCAGTTAACTTTCCCACACCTGGTAACCCTCAAGGGTCAGTAATGATTGGCAGAGGGGAAACACTCTTGTAAAAAGGAGAGACAAACTTATTCTGTACACTCTCCACCTCCCAGGGACATGGCATCCTGGTTCCTGACGTGCTCTCTTCAGGTACCTCTCTGCTTCCCTTGCTCCTGAGCCACAGTGTCCTTTAGACAAAACTCAGTTCAACTGGGTGCTGCATGCAAAGAGCTGATTTCACAAGCAAGTCCAGGGGAAGCCTGTTTTGTTGGAAGCTGGGATCTGAAAGGAGCTTGGTTTTCAAGCAAGGAAATCAGAGTTATCTTTTATTGAGCACCTACTGTGCCAGGCACTTCACATAGGCATGTGCTTACAATTGTCACAATCGTCTTGGAGGTAGGCATCAGTAACATCAGTTTAGGGACCAGGAAACTGAGGCTCAGCGGAGGACAAGCAGCTTATTCAAGGTCACAGAGTCCATGGATGAGGGAGGGATTCAGCACTCAGGATTTGCATCTGTGAAGACCGGAAAGCTTTTGCTGAGGAAAAAAATATATATATAAAGGGTAGAAGGGTGGACAAGGGGCTGCATTTCCTAGGAGTGAGGAACTGGTTCTGTTGTCCATGTTGTCCAGACTCCACTCCATTTCCCACCCGCTCGCCCCTCACAAGCCACTCTTTCCCAATACTCAGCTGCAAAGTCAGGCAAGACTCACTGAGACCGAGGTTATTCTCAGAAAGGGAAAAACGACTGGGATGAAAAACCTTACGGGGCGTGTGTGTGTTTGCAGGTGCAATGGGTGTGTGTAGCACGCACCACAAGAACACTGCTCCCTTCTAGGCCACGCCCCCACCACACTCGGGAGCCAAGCAGCTGAGGCATCTTGAAAGGACTGTTTATTTCCTTCCAGCGCCTCCCTGGAAGACCCCCTTGGGAGGGGGTGTGCTCAACACTTCTCTCTCAAATTGGCTACCAGAGCTCTGCCTCCAGGCCCATGCAGCCTGAGGAGAATGTAGTCGTTCTGTAATAGATTCAGGAACCCATGGTGTGATCCTCGCCTCCCTAACACACACGTTCCTTAATGAAGCAAGGAGCCCTAGCTGCATGGTGGACCTTCCGGTCTTGCTCAGGCACATGTGGCCTCAGGCTTGGCTCCCCTGTGTACACACGGATGGGTTAGTGCAGTACTTAGGGGCTTCTTCAGACACAGTGCACTGAGCTTAGCCTTCCCACTCTTTGGGAAGGAACCTCCTACCTCCTTGTCAGTTGCCCAAATCCTTCTAAGCCTTCGTCCCCAGCTGGAGAGAAGACATGGTCAGCCATGCTCCAGGCCAGTGCTGGAAACTCAGAGGCTGGCTTCCTGTAACGTACACTTTCTAAGCATGGCCTTGACTTTTGGAAGGAACCTTCAAGAGGATCAAGTCCCTGCCTCAGAAGGACTAAGGTGGCTACAAAGGTCATAGTGGAGAGAGGTTTCTCTTCGCGCTGGAAAAACTGGCTCAAATGTGACCGTATCTGACCTTCTTCTAGTCAGTTCCTTAATGTCCAGCCCAAGGGAGGATGTTCCTGCAAACCGGAGTGAGTGTGCAGGGTAGGGGGCTGTTTGGCTTGTACATTGGGCCAGCACCCTCTCTCTCTAGGCCCACCTACAGCGGCGCGGATGCAAGTAAGCATCCCCTTAGTGGGTGGGGACGCCCCAGAGTAACCCCGCAAGGGTGTGGAGGGGACCAAGGTCTGCAGGAAACTGGAGTTAGGGCTGGTGGTGTGTGTGTGAGGGGGTTGGTTCTGGGGATCTGGGCTGGGTCAAGACGCCCAGGTGAAGTAGGCGATCTCGTCCAGGTCGACCGGGTAATCGGTGAGCAGCACTGGGGTCTTGTCGAAAAGCTCGCCCTTGTAACTGCGCCACTTGCCAGCGGGCAGGTAGACATCGCGTTCCTGCTTGCCGGGCTCCAGCACCGGCGCCACCAGCAGCGTGTCTCCAATGAGAAACTGTGAGTCGATGCGGTGAGCCGTCTCGTCACCAGGAGCAATCCACCAAAGAGGGCGCACGATGGGGTCGCCGGTGTCCGTGATCTCGCCCGCCAGCTCCAGCAGCAGCGGCGCCACAAGCGAGGCCCGCAGTGCGGCAAACTTGTGTGCGATGGCTACCACTTCGGCGTCGTAGTGCCAGGGTGGGATGGAGAGCTGCATGGCCGGCATGAAGGCGGCCACCTCCAGCCAGCGCACATAGAGCTCTCGCTCTGGCACGGTGCCGCCGCCCGCCGTGCGCTCAGGCACCGCGTTGCCGCCCACCATGTCCGGCAGGATGAACGGGTAGCCCAGCATGCTGACAGTGAGCACGGCGGGGATGAGTGAGCGTAGCCCCAAGTCATAACCCCACACCGAGTCGCGGTCCACGAGGCGGAAGAAGCAGGAGATGTTCTGTGACTGGTAGCCCACGCGGACCTCGGCCAGCGAGTAGAAGGGCAGCGCCATCTCGGTATAGCGCCGGCTCCACACACTGGGGTCCGATAGTGGCCTGTAGGTGCTGAAGTCCCGTGGCAGGTAGCTGACCTCCCCCGCGTCGAACTTGAAGGAGGCCACTGAGTAGCGCGAACGCAGTCGCCGCAGGTGTCCCTGGAACCAGTCCCGGGCCTCCGGGCGCGTGAAGTCTAACACAGCGCCAATGCCATTCCACCAACGCACCAGCGCGGGCAGCCGGCCCGTGGGCTCGCGCACGAACAGCTCGCGTTCCACGCCCTCGCCGAAGCGGGACGAGTTATAGTTGACGAATGGGTGCACCCAGAGCGTGACGCGGAAGCCAGCTTCACGCAGCTGGTGGAACATATCGCTGGCGTTGGGGAACTTGGCCTCGTCGAAGTCGAAGTCGCCATAGGCTGGAGTGTACATGTCGTCGATTTCCAGATGGCTGCTGTTGAAACGGTGCTGGCGGATCTGCTGGGCAAAATGCAGCACCTTGTCCTGGTTCACCGCGCGCCCATACAGCGCCCACGTGGACCAAATGGGGTCTCGGAAGGCTTGGGGTGCGGGCACCCTGGAAGGTTTGTTGAAGTAGCGCCGTACCATGTACTTGTGGATGGAGGTCACGTCTGAGCCCACGCACACGCGGTAGCTTAGCTCTGGCCCCTGGGGGCCGCCGATGGGTGGTTTGTAGGGTGTGTCGTGGTAGCGAGCCTGCAGCCGCAGCGACCGCTCAGTGCTGTTCCATCCCAGGTGGAAAGGCACTGAGTCGTTGACTTTGATAGCAGCCGCGCGAGACGATAACCAGTAGCGCTCAAGGATGCCACCGAACGCGGCGTCGGAGGAATAGACATCGCTGGTGACAAAGGGCTGTGGTTCCAGCTGGCCCTCCAGGCGAATGGGCCAGTGTTGTGTCCTCATCTCGGCGCCGCCATACCAGTACGCTGGTGCATCGCCAAGGAACATGGCGTGCTCCACCGCCCGCCCTGGTGTCGCTGCCTCTTCTTCCCAGCGCACGCGGTAGCACATGACAGTGTCCTTGGGCCGCACGGTCTGGATGAAGAAGTGCAGAGGGCGCCCGTCAGCCGTGCGCGAGCAGCTAAGCACAGCGCCGATGCGGCCGCACGAGTCCAGGTCCAGCTCCCCGGATCGGAAGGCCAGGCGGAACACCTGCTCGCCCTTCTGGTTGCGGATGGAGAAGCCGCCGAGGTTGAGGTCCAGGAGCTCTGCGCGCAGGCGTTCTGCCTTGCGTAGGGAAGCGGTGTAGTAGCACCAGGCCACGATGGCGGCCAGCACCAGCAGCAAACCCAGGGCCGCGGAGCACAGCAGTGGTCGCAGCTCTTTGGACGGCTTGGGTTTGGCAGGGGTGAAGTTATCCGGTAGGAAGGTGTACATGGCTGCCACGTCAGTGTGCTGAGGGTCTGCGTGGGAACCAGGGCGGCGGCGGGGATAAGCCTGGCTTTTCTCCTGGGGGTTATGGGGCATCCGTCCCCAGCGGTTAAGGAACCAGAGGGCAGTGGGCACCACTCAACCACGCCCCTCTGAACCTGGCCTGCGTAGTCTGGAAAGGGGAAAAAGAGATTGAACTGAGCTTCCTCATTTAATCATATATACAGTTTGCTGTCACACGATAGGAGACTGGGTACTTTGGGAAGGTTGTCTGGGGTCTAAGGCCTTGAGAGGCAGCAAAGGGGAGACTCTTACCAGGAGAGTCTCTTATACATTCTTTCTCATGGTCCCATGTGAGTCATGTGAATGGAGAGTCGCATGCAACCAGGAGATGGCGTTTACTCTCTCCTCCTCCTTGTTTTCCCTGCTGGAGAAACAAACCCAGGATCACAAAGGCAGACCCTCCTGATGTGGGTGTGGTTGAGACTGAAGAGGAAGGGACTAGAGAGGGTATCCTAGAGGTAAGGTCATCAGGAGAATGGTCCTTCCAGCAACTGGGAACTTTGAATAGGGCGGTAGGCTGGGAGGGGTCCAGGCAGAGGGGAAGTGGGGATAGCTCAGGGATATTTCAGCTCACATGAAATATGACTTGGAATCAGAAAGTCAGAAAGCAGATGGAATCTGGAGATTAAAGACACCCAGGGCTTGGCGCCGTGGCCTAGCAGCTGAAGTCCTCGCCTTGAACTTGCTGGGATCCCATATGGCTGCCAGTTCTAATCCCAGCAGCTCCACTTCCCATCCAGCTCCCTGCTTGTGGCCTGGGAAAGCAGTGGAGGACAGGGTAAATAAAGCCTTGGGACCCTGTACCTGCGTGCGAGACCCAAAAGCGGCTCCAGGCTCCAGGCTTTGGATCGGCACAGCACCAGTTGTTGCGGTAACTTGGGGAGTGAATCATCAGACAGAAGATATTTCTCTCTGTCTCTCCTCCTCTCTGTATATATCTGACTTTGCAATAAAAACAAATAAATAAATCTTAAAAGAAAAAAAAAAAAGACACCATAACCAGACTTGATCTCAGGGCCCCGTATTGGAGAGAGCAGGTAAGTTCAAACATTGCACTGGGTCAGGATCCTGGCTGGTGTGGGTAGCTTCTTCCATCTGTCTCCCTTTGCTCTCAAACTTGACCAAGCACTGGGCATCTACCATGAAAAGCTCCGTTCCCTGGCCACCTTCCTGCTCTGCTCCCAGCACCACATCCGGGGTCAGCTATCTCCTCCCCGGTCTCTGTCCCTCATCTACTGTCACTTCTCCCTTGTCTTCCTGGAGCACTTCCAATAGGCTTCCCTGTACCCAACCTCATTCTCTTCAGTGTGTTCTGCTGGGAGCAACCATAGTGATTTTGGGAAAACCCTTATCAGCCACTCCTGTCTGGAGCTTCTTGAGCTACTCATGAGCTCCATGATGCAATTCAGAAGGGCAAGCTTGGTGGTGGAAGCTGCAGGCACGATGTGGTCTCAGCTTCATTCTGATTGCTTTTCCAGTCAGACCTATCTTATCAGTCCTCCCCCAGAGAAAATCCTTCAAGACACCTTCTGCATGAGATTTCATCCACCCAATCTGGGCCAGTGTCTCTTTTCCGCCTTCCAATTCTCTCCATGGATCAGATAGCCACCACTATACACACAAACTCTCATACTGTTTGCTAAACATGCAGGTATGACTTAGGGAAACACAGGCTTGGGGGAGGGTACACATCCTAGCCTGCCGCTCAAGGCCACCGAACCCTCCTGTCACAGCCTTCAGGGCAGAGTCCAACAAAGCAGCAGCACCAGCCAGGTGCACACACAGGCACATACACTGCCAGCCAACCAGCTGCCTAACTGCTCCAGCTGGGAAGAAGAACAGAGGGAGACTGACAAGCAGTAATTAGCTTCCTCCCAGGTGCCAATGTCTGTAAATCCTTAGCAACTTCCAAGGAGTTACTGAATGGGACTGTCTGGGGGTCTTCACCTCCTACGCAGAGATTACAAAGAATGCCATGTGCAGATCAGAATGCTGACTCTTGATATTAATAGACTGCCCCCCCACACACTGTATACCCCAATCCAAGATACTACTGCCCCAGGGCCTTATTATTATTTAAGGCTTATTTATTTGAAAGAGAAACAGAGACCTTCCATCTGCTGGTTCACTCCCTCACATGACCTCAACTGCTAAGGCTGGGTCAGGCTGAAGTCAGGAGCCAGGAACTCCATCCAGGTCTCTCTCACTTGGATGGCAGGGCCCAAGTGTTTGAACCATCTTCTGCTGCTTTCCCAGGTGCACTGATAAGGAGCTGGGTAATACACGAAGCATCTAAGACCTAAATGGGCAGGTGGTGACTTACCCATTGGGCCACAATGCCAGCCCCCAGAGCCTTATTCTTGGAGCTCCTTCCCTCCAACTATCTCAGTGTTTCTTAAGTCCCCATTTATCTGAGACAATCTCATACCCACTTTCTCTCAAACTATACCACTTCACTTTCCTCCCACTTCCTGAAAGTACAGGTTAGAAAAGTCCTTTTGGAAAATGTAAGGCAGTAGTTCTCATGCTCTGCCTTATGCCATCAAGGAGGGATACAGGGAGAAAGAGAGAGACTGACCATATCTAAGTAGGACACAGAGCCCTCATTCACAAAGCTTCTGTGTTATCATTCTGTCCCACCACTACTGGAGGCCTCTCCAACACTTTGATTCTGAGCATCTGAACTCTCCAGGATTCCAAGGTTCTTTGGTGACCAGAGGACTCGGGCCCGAGCATCCAGTCTATGGGGACCAGAGGTTAAGTTTCCCGAATGCCAACCCTATCAACCTTGTGGGGCAGTGGCACAATTCTGCTTTTACTGAAGAGGAATCAGGGGCACCAAACCTAAAACTCATCTAAAGTTACCCGGGATAGCAACGTTGCTTGGATCCAAAATCCTACCTCTGCGCTAAGCAAGTTACGTTTTGGGAGATGAGTGTTATTGTCTGCCTGGCTGTCTGAATGCAGGGATAGAAAGTTCTGTGTGGCGGAGAGGTTTCCATCAGATGGGCAGGAGGCGAGTGAGGCCTGTCTTTGGAAGGGCCGGTGCTGCTGGCTGGCTCTGGACAGACCAGAAAGGCCTCGTGGGGTGAGAAAGAGGCAAATTTAATGCCATCTAGTATCGGGGCAGTGTCCAAGGCTCTGGTTGGCCATGGGGCTTAGAGAACCCTGTTATCTGCCACCTCCACCATATGACCAACCACAGGACTGTGGGAGCAGGTGGGGTCTGCAAGGACGCAACATCCTGTGCTCCGCCCTCGCGGAGCCTCTTCCCGCTGGACACCCGACCTCCCTGTTGGCTGCCAGCCCCTAGCCTGGTCTGAGGGTGAGGGGAGGCCATTCCCAGCATGGTTGTTTGTGGGACACAGTTCGTGGGGGTGGGTGAGGGTAGGGTGGAAATGTCAAAGGGAACCCGATCTGGTCCATTCCCCTCTCCTCCAGGCGACAGGATCCGTGGGGATCGAGTGACTGCGTCTACACAGCCGGGAATACTCCGCCCTCCGCACCGCGCCCGACAGCTACAGCGGAAAGAAGGGACAGATTGAGGTCAAGGGACCTGTCACCCGCTGGGAACCGCGGCCCAGGTGGCCAAGCTCGCTCTACTCACTAATCCGGAGGAGCCAAAGTTCAGAGAGCGTGCTTCTTCAGCAGCTCTTCTGTCCCTCCCCAAGTCCTCCCGTTGGGCTCACTCACGGACAGCAAGGACGCCCCGTCAGAAGTGCGGGTGAAGGGAGCTTCCCGCAGATCCCCTTTGATGAGAGCGGGACTTGGGCTGCACCGCGCCTGGGTAGGCGCAGCTGCCAGGCTCTGCACAGAGCGGAGCCCTTCTTCGGGCCCCGCCTCTGGATACTTGGCCACGCCCCAGCCGTCCAGTCTCTCCTCCGGCCTCTCGGGGGTCCAGCCCGCCCCTTGGCAGGCGACCCCTCCTATGTCATCACGCCGACCCGAGGCCCCGCCCTTAGCCCTGGCCGCTCTCCCGCTGCTCTGTGCTCTGCCCCTGGCTTCTCTGGCCCGCCTCCCCCTGCGTGGCCTCCTAGCTGGGAAATGTAGTTCTGGAGGAAACAGCAGCTGCAGAAAGTCAGGTTTCTTGCAAATCCAAGCCAGGTTTAGGGTGCGTACGAGAGGTAGAGAGCCGCAACTCTGGTCTTTGGGACGGCTTCCTTTGGTCAAGCTGAGGCCTTCTGTGTAATGACCCTGTATGCTGCATTCAGGGGAGATCTCAGCGACCAAGGCAGGTGCAGTTCTTCCAGCCCAGAAACTAGCGCTTGGAAACCCAACCAGTCCCGGGGTTTAAGCTGTTTACCCCACCCCACTCCTTGCCTCCACTAGACTGGCGTTGTCTGGGAATAGGACCCAAAAAGATGGGTTTCTGTTCAGAATTTTGCACCCCTGCAGCTCCCTGGTTATTTATAGGGTCCTGCCCTCCTGGAGCCATAGGCTGGAGACACGTGACGTCGTCCAGGGGTACCTGTGCTCCTCTGCATGGCTTCCCTGGCAGGAGTTCAGGGTGGTGCACATATTAAATGAAGGAAGAAAGATACTGAATATCCCACCGCTTTGCTCCTTGAAAGGCAAAGAAACAAGGCTTTGTTTTTGCCATTTTTAAATTTCTTGGGTCATAAGACTTTCCACAATGATGTCTGGGGTCTCCTTCAGTGGCAAGGGTCCTGTGTTGGGGGGATGGGTCGAATTGGCTGAGATATAGGTGTTGAGAGTAGATGTCAAGAGACTTGGGTGTAGGGAGTTGGCTTTGACTGTGGGAAGAAGGACTCTGGGTCCCCTGAGATGCAGGAGGGCATTTAAGTTTGGGGAAATGTTGGCTGGAGAGGTCTTCATGGGAGGGGGCGCTGGGTGGGTGGAAGGGAGGTGGGCCCAAGCTGCTGTGCCAGGAGGGCACTCGGCAAGCACTGAGCTGGTGGGCAGCGTGATGTTGGCAATCTGCCCCTTGGTCAAGGCAGCTTTGCCAAGGGCCTGAGGGACTAGCCCTCCACTTCCGCACTGGGTCAGGTTAAGGACACTGGAGGCAGCCTTTTGGGGAGTCAAGAGTTTATTTCTTGCTCTGCCCCCCTAACCTGGCCAGCCCAGGCTTTACCAGCAATGGTAGTTGGGATAGCTCTCAGACACAAACTCAGGGTGGACAACAAAGTTGTTTCTCTGGGCACCACCGGTCTTCTTGAAGTGACTTGTATCCCATCTGTGAGGAGACACGGGATCAGCCCTTTCAGATTCTCATCCTCAGGGCCAACAGCTGACTGCACTTCTCCATGTTATTCTCATCTTGATGTTTTGCTACTTACTAACACTGACCCTGGGCTCTAACATTGACTAAAACCACTCCTCCCCCCTTCCCCAGCCCCCAGCCCCTCCTGTTAGTTTCTGATACCCAGCACCAGCTCCCTAACACGGACTTCTTCCCCCTTTCCTAAGCCCTGAGCCCAATGCCCTTGGCTGTGGACCACAGTATGTCCACTACCAATGATGACCCCTCCCTACCGGCCACTTTGCCCTCTTTGGGGATCCTCCTGCTCCTTGCCAGCTTTGACTTGGGCATGGCACCGGCTCCCCCTGGTGGCACTTTTTGTCAGTGCGCTGCAGGGGTTGGCACCCACCCCAACTGTCCCCTCACCCACCCACAGCAGCCTTCTGCTCAGGCAAGAGTTCGTTTAGCCTCTGGCATGTGAGTGCCAGACCTACCTAAGGTTCGGACATGGGTAATATGATGGCGGGAGAGTTGTAACAGCACATTCCATTCCGGGCCGGTGGTCGTAGGGTGACACAGCCCTGGAAGAAGCAAGCAGTGGACAGGGCGTGGTCAGACCTTGGGATACCTGCCCCAGCACCCAAGTGGCGCTTGGGGTGTCAGAGATCTCCTTGCGAGGCGAGACTGCAGTTGAAGCGTCGCTCCTCCCACAAGTCCTCCTCATCAGTTGAGGAGGACCTAGGAGCCCACGGGATGCCCTCCTGTGGCGCACACCTGTTAGCTGTTAGCCTGTTGCTGTTAGCAAGAACCCCGAGGGCATGGGCTCCCTCCCCTAAAGGTCACGCGGGGCTTCGAGGAAGCTCTAATCTGATTCAACATTCCCTAGTCCTTAGCCCCTGGCAGCGATCCCCCCTTGAGTTCCAGAAGCCCAGGGAAGAGAGGATCTTTGAGAAAACACGCGACCCTCCTCAGTGAGGCCTTGTATCCTTGGAGCATCGGGTAACTAAGGTAGGAAGTGTCCTCCTTCAGGACTTGCGGATCCCGAGGCAGACCGCGAGCCCCGTTCTCGAGGGGCAGGGTGGGGGACTTGGGGGTCTCTCTCCGCCTCAGCCGTGGGGTGAGAGCCGGCCGAGGCGGGCCGAGCCCTGCGAACCTTACAGTCGGCTGCTCGGCGGCACACAGGGGCCGCAGGCGGCGCTCCGTGGACGGCGCCCCGCCGGCGCAGTAGTCCATCCCGCGCAGACAGTAGTGGCGGCCCGAGCAAGGGCTTTCGTAACCTACGTAGGGCAGGCGGCCAGGCAGCGGGTCCACACACCCGCATCGGGACATGATCTGCGGCGTTTGCTGGTTCCGGGACAGCGAGTTCAGCATGTTCACCACCACTTCGCGCTCTGTGCAGCGGCGGGTCCCGAACCCGGGGTGTGCGTGTGTGCATCACAGAGATGGGGAAGGAAGGGGGGAGACACACAAAGACAGGGTTACACCCTCACCAGGACTCCCTCTGTACTAGGCCCTCGTCCTGCCCGTCTTTTGGTCTTCCCCACCCTTCTCACTGCCGGTTCCTCTCCTGGCCCCATCATCCTTTACCGTAGGCGTTGAGCCGCTCAGGTTTAGGAGGGTACTCCAAGGGCATTCCTCGAACTGCCGTCTCGGTCCCGGCCTCCTGGAAGTGCAGCACATCAGCTACATCATATTCTGACCTGGAAGACTTGCACCTTTTTGGGGGTCCTCCCAGAACATCCAGACAGGCCCTCAGGGCGGCCTCCTTCCTTGGCCCTCAGCAGCTCCTCTAGCCGCCAATGTTAGGGGTTGTTGCCTGGCAACACTTTTACTCCGCCTCTGGGGGCGGGAGTGGTGGAGAGGGCTTGGCCCTGGTCCTCTGACAGTCCTGCTTTGGTCTGTTCCTTGAGTTGTCCCGTTTTCCCGGGTTTATATGGCTGTGTAGTGGTGTCTCTCTAGCAGGGGCTTTTCCATATTGTTTACCCTAGGGAACTGGGGGTGGGATTCTTGGGGAAAGTTCTAACAACAACAATAATAAAGGAATCCTATCAGAGGCCAACCATCTGCCTTACAGTTAGTCTCTGGGACCAGTGGTGTTAAACCCTCCTTGCAAGGCCTGGCATCCTATAGCTGGTTCGAGTCTTGGCTGCTACAGCTTCCTATCCAGCTCCCTGCTGTTGATTCTGGAAGACCCAAATGGTGGAAGTTGGTTCAAATGCCTGAGTTCCCTGCTACCCTCATGGGAGGGAGGGCTGATGGAGTCCTCTGGGATCCTGAATTCCACCTGGCCTAGCTCCTGGCTGTTGCAGCCATTTGGGAAGTGAACTAGCAGATGGAAGCTCTTTCTCTCTTCTGTCTCTCACTCTCTCTCCCCTTCCCGCCATTCCCTCTCTCTTCCCTCTCTGTAACTCTGCCTTTCAAATAAATAAGCTTGTAAAAGAACCTCTGCTCTGGCTTTGGCTCCGGCCATGACTCCTCGGGCCTGGGCCTGGGGCCCTCTGATCTCCGTGGAAGATGCTCCTGGTTCTGTATTGGTGCTGAATAGCTCTGCTCTCCTGCTCTCTGTCCTTGTCTACCTCACAAAGGAGGGCAGGGAAGAGCAGCAGACCTAGTGAGGTGGGGGGAGTCCATGTGATGGGTTGCTTGGCAAGCTTTGTTAAAATTCCATAGGGCCAGGCAGACATTGGGATACAGGGTACCCAACAAAGCCCCAAGTCTGGGCTCCCTTTTTAGCTAGACAACACCAACTGTTATTTCACAGATGGGGAGAAGGCCTGTGTCATTGGAAAAGGAATTAGGGGCTAATGGTGGAACAGCAGCTTCTGTGGTTTGGGAGAGGCGGGGTGTAAGTGTCTGTTGTGTGCAGTGCATACCTTGGGCAGCCGGGGAAGGCAGCTGGTGTACTTGTTCCAGTAGCTGCTGTGGTAAGGTGGCGTTCTCCACGTGTTGTAACGGTCACTGCTCAGGTAGCATGGGCTGCATCTATCTGCTTGATCACAGAGATGGAGATGTCACATACTCGGTGTTATTTGGGACTTCACCTCAGGAATCTGGGACGTCTTAAGTGTTTTTCCTTTGGGCCCTGGCACAGAGGAATCCTGGCCCTGGCCTCCTTCAGGCCAATTCCCAAGCCCCCGTCTGTTTTTGACTCTAGGGTGCAGCTCATGTCCCACTTCAGCCATGTCCCTTCTCTTGCACGGGTCACTTTTTAGCTTGGCTCCACCTTTTGTGAATCACCTTCCACACCCAGGCTCTTTGTGACTGTCTCCTCTTCCTGTATCCCAAATCTCAGCAGTGCCTTAACCAGGAGACAACACAGTGTCATTGTTAACAGAGGCTCTGTAAATAGCCTGGGTTTAAACTTCAGTTCTGTAACTTGTTAACTGTTAAGTTGGTTTCACCTTGACCAACTTAATTTCCCTCAGCATTAAAATGTGGGGCAATAAGGTTGTTATGCAGTTTATATGAAGATGTGTGTATATATATATATACATATATTTATATATATATATAAAATTTAGAACAGTGCTTGGTATGTAAAAAGTTGCTGCAATTAGCATACCAGGCCCTTTGCTTTGTTGAATTCCTATAATCCAACTTCAACACAGAAGCTGCAGTACTTTTTCAAGATTGAAAATTTGTCCAAAACAAATTTCCTACTTAAAACCTCCACAGTCAGGGCTGGTGCTGTGGATTAGTGCAATAAGCCTCAGCCTCCAGCACTGACATCCCATATGGGTTCTGGTTCCAATCCTGACTGTTCCCCTTCTGCTTCTGGGAGAAGCAGCAGAGGATGAGCCAGCTGCTTGGGCCCCTGTCCCCACATGGGAGACCTGGAAGAAGCATTTGGCTCCTGGCTTCAGCCTGGTCTAGCCCCAGCCGTAGTGGATATTTAGGGGGTGAACCAGTAGATTGAAAGACTTCTCTCCTGCTATGTCTCTGTAATTCTACCTTTAAATAAGAAATAAATGATAAATCTTTTTTATTTATTTCATTTTATGACATCGTTTCATAGGCTCTGAGGTTCCCCCAACCCTTCCCTGTACCCTCCCCCCATGGTGGATTACTTCACCTTATTGCAGTATTACAGTTCAAATCCAGTCATGCGTCTTTCATTGCAAGCATGCATCATGCATACAGTCCAGCATCTTACTGGCCAGATAAATTCAACCGTTTCTTGGGGTTGAATTTATCTGGTTTAAAAGCAGAGCTGGCAGAATATAGTCCAAATAATAAATCTTTAAAAAGAAAACTTCCACGGTCACTGAAGCCAGTCTTACAAGGTTTCCCACCTTCTACTCTCCCAAAGTCTGAGAGAACGTGTGAGAGACAGCATGAAAGATACCCTGGAGGATGAGCAGGTGTGGTGGGGGAGGAGGTGGGATCTTGGGATCTGGTGGGTCAGACAGATTAAATTTGAGGTGTTGGGAGATATCCAGGTAAATGTGACCATAATCAGATGAGAGAGCGTGGACTTCTGGTATGGAGTCAATGCTGGCCATAAAGACATGGAGCTGTCAGTAACTGCAGCCAGGAGAGGGCTAGGTAAAATGGCCTGGAGAGATGAGCAAGGAGAAAAGAGGGTTCAAGATGACACCCAAGGGGGAGGGAATTTGGAGAAGGAATGAGGGAAATCCCAGAGCCTATGGAATTGTAACATAAAATTAAAAATAAAATAGAAGGGGAAAAAAGATGATACTTAGATGAAACCATGTATCCATAGGTGATGCACAAGACCCAAGAAAGTGAGAGATGAGAGAAGGAAGCAGTTTCCAGATGTGGAGAATTTGGGGCTGAATGAAATGTACAGGACAGGTCTGCTAGGGAAAAAACTGAAGGTCCCGTGGATTGGGTGGTCAGACCTACACACGGTCACCTGGAGAGACTGAGTGTAGGATATGCAGATGCAGAACTACACAAGGTCACTTGGAGGGTTTGAGTGTAGGATATGCAGACGTCCTCCCAACTTCAATTGGGAATGATCAGTTCATTCAATAAGTACTTGTCATGTTGGTTGTTGTGTAAGATGGAGGGGACACTTTTTGACTATTACAAGCCTCTGTTCCTTGGGAATGTCCAAGGAGATAGCGCGAACAGCTAGCCAAATGAGAAAGCTGATTCCTGATGGGGTGTCAGGAGGGCAGACCATTTTTGGAAAATCTTGGTGGTGAAGGAGAGGAGTAAGGAAGGGATTTTTAGGCATGAAGAAATCGGAGAAAGGGATTGACTGACAGGAAAGATGTTTGGTGGGGCAGAGAGATGCAAAAGAGGGAAAGTTGATGGAATGGGGTGGGGATGACACCTGGAGGGATTTGTCTGGGACGGAAGACAGTCTCTCCATCTCTTTAAGGCTGAGATTCTGGTTTCTTCTGACCCACCCCCCCCACCCCTAGACAAGAAGCTCCCCCAAAATCAGGACCCAGGTTGTTTCTTCCGGGGCAGGGTTGGGTCAGTAGGTGGGTGGCTAGGCTAGAGTGGTAAGGGCAGATGTTTAGTGTCATGGGTGAAGTTAGGAGTTATTATAGGATCAGAATGGAGGTCATGGTCCAAGTCTGATTCAGGCTGGAGCTCATCGTTGAGGCTTTTGTTGGGGTCAGAGATGGGGGAGGGATGAGGGTCTTACCATCATATTGAGATAGCCAGTACTTCTCAGGCAAATAGGGGTGTCCCAGTATGGAACTCTTGTAAGTGTAGTCCTGGTTATTACATTTGGCCATCTTGTGCAGGGCATCAGGATCCATGTCACGCTCAGTGGTGTGAGTCAAACCCTGGGCAGGGGAGAGAATAAGAGGAAGTAGATGTGGAGAGATCTCATCCCTGGAGCCTCACTGGACCTGGATCCAGTTCTTCTTAACAGCCCAGGTGGCTCCCCAAACCCCCTTGGCTGTGCAAGATGGACTCTCAGGTCAGCCTTTCCCTTGCACAGTTCCTTGCACAGTTGGATTCTTTCTCTCTCTCTCTTTCTCTCTTATTCCTTTCCATCCAAAGCCAGGAGTGGTAGCCAGCCTCATGCTGTCACAGGAAAGGCTACCTCTTGCAGGAGGGAGGCCTGTCTTGGAATCTGGCACCTTGAAGGGGCTGAAGAATAAGGCTCTTATTTTAAAACCGAAGTCCCTAAACTCTGATCCTGATTCTGCTGTGGCTCTGACTATGACCCTTGACCTTCACCCAACCCCCTGCTCTTCGTCCTTATCTTGACCTTTGTCTTGTTCTTGGTCTAGGTCCTGGGTCTTTCTTCTAGAAGTTTACCTAATCCAATCCTTTTACTCCTTGTTTGGCTAGATCTGATGTGGCCCAGTTCAAGTCTTCACCTTTCTAGATTCCCTTGTCTTCAACCAAGGGCAGTTGTGGGCCCATAGGTCTCTGTAAACAGTCAGCCAAGTCAGGTACACCAGAAAGGTTTCCCTCATAATGGGCGGTGAGGTGCTGGCTTGGGGATGCCCCCCAACACTTGCTTCCATGATTTTAAAAAGTTTCTTTGGTCCAGGGCTGAGACCTTGATACCTCTTGATGCCCTATCTACCCTGAAACCATTCAGCTCAGGGGTTTCTGGGATCCCCTGTGCCCAGCTGATCCTGTGCAGTCAGTCATACTCCCATTTTGGTAAAGGGCAGAACATGTGAGAGTGAGTACAGAAGCACTTCCCTGAGCTGCCACACACATGCACACACACACAGATATCCATATGTATGTACACAAATATAACCTGGTCATACACTAAACAGTGAAATGCACATGTGGACTCCCAGTGCAAATGCAGTCTTGTGGAAGCATCAGCTTTTCTGTTGGAGGCTTTGCTCAGCTGACTGCAGCTGTCTGCTCATGGGGTGGAAGTATAGTGGAGGCTTTGAGCTGCAGGTGGCCTTTGTCAACCCAAGTGTCCCTGTAGGATGATGTCATTGCACTATGTGTTTTTCTCTCCTACAAACGCTGACATTATTATCTGCAGGTCTTTTCCTCTTGTGCTCATCAGATTCTGTAAAAGATACTCTCGGTCTTTGGCCCAAGGGTGATGATTAGCTGCCAGTAGTCTGAGAATCAAGTGCAGGGAAAGAGCGAGGGGCTCTCACAATCCCGCGGGACGGTGGTTCACTTGTTTTCAGTTTGACAGCAGCCCTCATCTTGCAGCCTTGGCCCCTAGCTTCTTTCCAAACACTAACCTCTAATGGACACAGGCACTCACCCTCTGGCATGGACTAGAAGGGAGATTCGTGGGTTTAGTGCCTTCTTAAATAAGCTTTCCAATAATCCTTCTTTTAGCCTTGGTCCTGGCTGGTTTTCAGTTCTGCAGAAGACTGGGATTACCAATTCCTGAACGTTTTGGAAACTGTACAGTTTGGAGGTGAATTATGTATTGAATTTCTTGCTGCTGGCTTTGGTTCGGCTTTCTCAAATCTGTTGTCAGTTACTACCTACTTGTCATAGTTCCAGTGTTTGAAATTTTTTTGCCATTGTCCCTTCCTTCTCATTGTAAGTTTATGTCTTAAATATCCTCTTGCTGTAGTTTTAGAGAGATTCCAGGAGGGAGCCAAAACATTTGTGTTTGATGTTAACTCAGAGAATTATTGTGTTTTATTGTATACCATAATCCTCAATGAAAAATACTACATGTTGCAAATCTTTGTTTGTGCTACCTTTATTTATTTTAAGATTTATTTTGGGGCCAGTGCAATGGCTAATCCTCTGTCTTTAAGTATTGACATTGCATATAGGCCATGTTCTGGCTGCCCCACTTCCCACCCAGCTCTCTGCCTGTAGCTTGGGAAAGCAGTAGAGCATGGCCCAAAGTCTTGGAATCCTGTACCTGCATGGAAGAACAGAAAGAAATTCCTGGCTACTGGCATCAGATCACCTTAGCTCTGGCGGCCATCTGGGGAGTGAACCACCAGATGTAAGACCTTTTTATTTCTCCTTCTCTCTTTATGATACTAATTCCTTCTATCCATGAGTGTAGTAAATCTCTCCATTTGATATAGGTACTTTTTGAAAACATTCAATAAAAATTTCGATATCTACATTATTTTATATACATTGTTAACTTATTCCCATTTAACATCCTTTAAAATTACTAAAATGATGTATATTTTTAAAAAATGATGCCTCCTAAGGGATCAGCATTGTGGTGTAGCAGGCTCAACTGCTGCTTATGGCACTGGCAACAATGGCACCACATACTGGAGCACTCATTTGATTCTCAGTTGCTCCCTTCCAGTCCAGCTCCCTGGTAATGCACCTGGAAAAGCAGTGGAAGATGCTACCCAAGTGCTTGGGCTTCCGCCCAAATGGAGTTCTTAGCTCTTGGCTTTGGCTTGGTCCGAGTTCCTGATATGGCAGCCATTTGGGTGGTGAACCAGCAGATGGCAGAGCTACCCTCTCCCTCTTCCTATCTTTCCTTCTCTGCCTCTCTGCCTATCAAAACAAAATAGATAACTCTTTAGACATTTGCCCAACTTTCTAAATTCTCCAATTTAATAGTTTATAGATAATGAGTTTTGTTTGTTCGTTTTTAGAGATTTGTTTCATATATTTGAAAGATGGAGCTACAAAGGGGAAGGGAGGGAGGGCTCTTCCATCTGCTGTTTCACTCCCCAAAGGACTGAAATGGCTGAGGCTTAGCGAGGCTAAGCCAGGATTCTGAAGCAATAGCAGGGAGCTGTGATAGAAGCCAGCAGCAGGGACTCTATTCAGAGCCCCTAAGGAATGCAGTCATCCCAGGCAGTGGCCTAAATGCCAGCCCATATTTCTTCTTTTCCCTGCCTGGAACTTCCAGTGCAATGGTGAATAGAAGTCATGATAGTGAACATTGCTGCCTTGTTATCCATTTTAAACAGAATGCTTTTACCGTATAACCAATCACAATGATGCTGGTTTTATACATTTGGTGCATATATCTTCAAACAAGTTAGGGAAGCCTTCTATTTCTGTGTTTTTTAAAATACCTTTATTGAAGTATAGTTTACATTCCTTAAAGTTCACTATTGCATATAATTCAAGGATTCTTAGTAAGTTTATAGAATTGTTCTACAATTTACAATTGTACAATTCTACAATTGTAGAATTCTACAGGGCCTGGCGTGACCTAGCGGCTAAAGTCCTCACCTTGAACATCTTGGATCCCACATGGATGCCGGTTCTAATCCTGGCAGTTCTGCTTCCCACCCAGCTTCCTGCTTATAGCCTGGGAAAGTAGTAGAGGATGGCCCAAAGTCTTGGGACCCTACATTTGTGTGGGAGACCTGGAAGAGCTCCTGGCTGCTACTTTGGATCAGCTCAGCTTTGGCTGTTATGCGCACTTGGGGACTGAATCATCTGATGGAAGATCTTCCTCTCTGTCTCTCCTCCTCTCTCATATGTTTGACTTTGTAATAAAAATAAATAAATCTTTTAAAAAAAGAATTCTACAATTGTTTCACAATCCCTATAATAGTGCCATCACCCCAAAAAGATTTCTCATGCCTATTTTATTTCTGAATAATTAAAATTATCTTGTAGCTCTCTCTTTAGATATGTTAACATGATAAATTATATTTTTCTAATGTTAAGCCTGCTTTGCATTTATGAAATAAATACAACTTAACCATCATGAATCATTTTTACACAGTGCTGGATATAGTTTGCTAATAATATTCACTTAGAATTTTGGCTTTTATACTTATGTATAATTTTCTTATGCTGTTATTGCTTAGGGTTTTTTTTTTATAACCTTTTAAAAGATTTATTTATTTTTATTGGACAGGCAGAGTTTGCAGAGAGAAAGAGAAAAAAGATCTTCCATCTGTTTGTTCACTCCCCAAGTGGTCACAATCGCCAGAGTTGAGCCCATCTGAAGCTAGGAGCCAGGAGCTTCTTCTGGGTCTCCCAGATGGGTGCAGGGTTCCAAGGCTTTGGGCCATCCTTTATCACTTTCCCAGGCCACAAGCAGGGAACTGGATGGGAAGTGGAGTAGCCGAGATACACACCAGCGCCCATTTGGGATCCTGCTGTGTGCAAGGCAAGTGCTATAGGCACTAGGCTTCAGAGCCGGGCCCTATTCTTGCCCAATTTTTCATCAAGGGTGACCTGGCTTCACAGAATGAGCTGGGAAGCATCCTCTTTTCTCCTTTTATCTAGAAGATTGAAGTACTGTTTCTTGAACATTATAGAGACATGATTGTCTAGTTATTTTATTTCTCTCCTTTCCTCCTTTCTCTTAGTTTCTCATTTTTAACAGTAAGCATGCTAGCAAAGTTTAATGAAGAGAAATAATGAAGAGTTCATGGGCCTGGCGTGATGGCTCAGTGGCTCCTCACCTTGCGCGCACTGGGATCCCGTATAGGCGCCGGTTTGTGTCTCAGCTGTTTCACTTCCCATGTGGCTCCCTGACCAGGCAGGCATTTCAGTAAAGAACTGAGGAAGCCTTAATTTTTCATACTATATATTTTCTTTGGGAAATTAAAAATTATTGGTTTACTGTCATTGTAATTGGAGCATTCAGCTTTTTCTAATTCTTCTAGAACTGGTAATTTTACCTTTTCTAATATTAGTTGGCTTTCAATTTTGTTAGTATACATTTGTTGAGAAAATTATTGTGCTATCTTCTTTTTCTTTTTTTTTATACTTTTTTTTTAAAGATTTATTTTATTGGAAAGTCAGATATACAGAGAGGAGGAGAGACAGAGAGGAAGATCTTCCCTCTGATGATTCTTTCCCCAAGTGAGCGCAATGGCTGATGCTATGCCGATCCAAAGCCAGGATCCAGGAACCTCTTCCAGGTTTCCCATGTGGGTGT